CTGGTTCTGGGCTGAACTGCTGGGGGGGACTGGGAATCTCCTCCTGGGTCTGTGGTCCTGTCCCCCCTAAAGGGATTGGCCCTCAATGTCACAGTCTTAGTTCTGTTATGTTTTATTTTGTGTATTTTGTTTCACTTTGTTCCATGTTTTCTAGTTTTAGTGGTTTAATTCTTATTTTGTTGTGATTTCTGGATATTTTCAGTTTTCAGGTTTTTATTTGTTGCCCTCTGCTGTTGTTTTGTTTTCCCTTTTCCCTAGCTCCTTTCCTGTTCTGCTCTGTTCACACCTGCTCCCAATCTGCTCGTTAGTCCTCTCTTTGTTTCAGTCTCACATAAATACACTCTCTGTTCAGTTCCTCAGTGCTGGTTTCTCGTCTAACTTCCTCCAACTCCATCTCTCTGATCTTCCTCCTCGTGATAGTTTTCACCCCCTGTCGTCATGGTTTCTGGTTTGTTTGGCTTGGTTTTCATGTTTGATTTTTTGGATTTTGGATTCCTGCTTCAGTTGTTTGTTTACTCTTCATTAAATCATCAAGAAACTCACCTCTGCCTCCCTGTCTCTTCATTTGGGTCCACAAACCTCAACCCAATCTCAACACTCAAACCGGGGATGACAGTGTATGTATTAGGAGTGTGAGAATATGTTTAGTGTGTGCCTTTGTGTGCGTCTCCGTTGAGTGCTTGTATATATCCATATGGTTGTAAGGGTGTGATTGTGACTGGATATATCTGAAGTTGTTTCTGTCTAATTGTCTTATCTGGGGCTTGCAATGCCTCTTTTCCTATCCGGGGCTCTGTAGGGCGAGACTGGGGCCACCCACACCTGCTATTAAGCATACTTTCCTTCTGAAGAAGCTTTGTAAATCCTTTATACAAAGGATAGCCATGCTTATATACCACAGGAGTTTGGCTCAAGGTTTTCAAGGATGCATGCTTATACTAAATACTAAGCTGCAGCTACCACCCTGATTAATATGGATATCTAAGGGATATGAACTGCTCTTGAAGCTTCTTTACATTTACTTTGGTTTTCTGTTGTCTTCTTTTTGCTGTAATGCTTTCTGTTTTTTGTTTTTTTTCTCTTGTCTCATACAGGTATGGAAGCAGATTTCTAGGAGTTGCTGTATATCTTCTGTTGCTTTCTATTTTTGCTGTTACCAGTTTATTTTTGAATCTTTTCACGGGTTCTTTCCTGTCTCACTCTCTTTGTCTCTCCCCTTAGTTCATATCCCCTCTTTCTTTCTCACCTCTCTGTGTCTGTTGGATACGATTTTACTCGCAAAATAATTTTCAATAAAGTTTATTATACAAGTATCAAGTGGAACCTTATGTGAACAATCATAATGGTCTGCTTGTGAAAGCAAAGCTGCTGGGCTATCATATAACTCTGAGACATTTATACCCAGAGTTTCTTTAACAAAACAGGACAAAAAAATAAAAATAAATAAATAAAATGATTAGATATTATGCTCGTGTATTTGTTGGGCTTTTTTTCTAAGTATTAATAATCTAATTCAAATGGAAAAATTACGGGAAAATGTATTTTAAGAATAATTGATGTATTTATATTTCAGTGTTTTCAGTGTTTGTGCCATAATTCGTAGGGATCTTATTCTGAATATTTAAAAATATCTCTATTAAAGTCTTCTAAAACACCACAGTTTTTATGATAAAAAATCTCCATACTGCCATGAAATCTAAACGTTCCAGCCCCCCTGCAGAGACGCAGGCATCTCACAGCATCATGGATCCCTCACTGTACTTTACAGTTGACCTTACGTGCATCATGCATTCATGTCAAACACTGCTGGAGAATTTGATCCTGAAAAGGCAAATCTGATCAAAACACCTTTGCACAGTTTCAGTTAAAATCCCAGCAGAGTTTACCAAACAGGGCATGTTTATGTTTGTGATGGTGTAGAGAAAATAATCTCTCTTGCCATTCGTCTTAAACAACCTGCTGCCATTAATAGCAGTTGTTATGGAAACCAAGTCACTATTTGCTGCAGTTCTCTAACAGTGAACTGTGTAAATGTGTAGATCCATCCTACAAATTTACCAAAAGCTACCATTTTTTAACATGGGATTTATTTTTTTCACCTGGTAAATATTTTAATACAAATTTTTTCGTATATATTTAGTTTGAAAATGTGCTGATGCTATGCTTTTAGCTACATTATGGCAACTTGTATTCTGCCTAAAAATCCATCTACGATTGTTGGAAGAGTTAAGAGGGATATAGTATCCCAATCCATGTTGTTTTAACCCACATTTTGAAAACTTGTGTCATCTTAGAACAAAATAACTTTAATAGCTTATCTTAGGTTACTAATTTTGGTTTTCAAGGGATGTGCATTTTTTTTTTTTTAAGTGTTCACAAACTATGATTCTTTTTTCGACTCAATAAGATCATCTGCTGTTCTCTGGAGCAGGCCCTTGTTTTTATAATGCGTGATTCCTGAGTGTTACATGATTAATTTCTAAAGCCCCTAAACATCAGTCCTGACAGACAGTATGAAAAAAAGCTGATCAAAGACCCTACTTTTAAGAGATTAAGGGTAGTCTCAGAGGAAGTGATCAAAGATTAAATGTCAGTACAGAGAGAGAGAAACTCCAGACAATAATAACAGAAATCGTATTAAAAGATGAGGGAGGTTTGGATCATGCATGCGCTGTGTTTTGAAGCTGGAGATATTCACGGCGCAATGTTGCAAATTCTTTCTCTTTGCCCTATTTCTGTCTACTGCAATCAGATATCTAAAGAAAGGCAATTTCAACATGGTAAAAGTGTGTAATGTTAAAAATGGTGTACAAAAACACTCACCAACCTGCGGCAATAAATGCTAGAAGGAAACGTGCTCATATAAATGATCCAAGAGTTCAATTCAATTCCTTTCAGTTTATTTATATAGCGCCAATTCACAACACATGTCATCTCAAGGCAGTTTACAATTTGGTCATATTGGTTCGAAATCTTTTGTTGATTAAAACCAGTTGATTGCATCAACTCATGGACTAGAATGCAATCCCTCAGAGGAAGCATGCTTTTGGGGAAAGTGAAGAGGAAAAACTCCCTTTTAACAGGAAGAAACCTCCAGCAGAACCAGGCTCAGTGTGAGCGGCCATCTGCCGAGGCCGACTGGGGTTCAAGGAGACAGAAGCAGAGATACAAAAATCCATATGTTGTTTGTCCTTTGCAACATTTTGCTCCTGTTAGATCTTCTAAAGTAAATCTATATTGTTCATGCCTGCAATGTCGGTTTAAACATGGGTTCGTTGTTAGCCGCCCAGGGTGGCAAAGCAAAGGGGAGGATGCACATACACTAGAAAAAATATATCCCTTATTTTTGCTCTGGATTGGTTTTCTATTGATTGGGCATAGTGACAGTAAACTGTGAATAACTCTTTGGAAATCTTAAACAGAATTTTAAAAAGACATTGTTATCAACAATGTTGTTCTTCTGTTAAGTTATGAAGATTTGGAGTTTGACTTGCAATTAAGGTAGAATAAAAAATTAAACCAAAAAAAAAAAATACATTTGAATGCACATTCAGCAGATCAAAGTGCTAAGTTAACAAAATAAGGGAAAAAAAAGAATGAACTAATTGTCAGAATCTCTGAACATAGGACCTAGAATTCAAGCAGAGAGATCAGGGTCATTTCAAAACAAATGTTTATTGAAGAAATAGGTGTGCAGCTGCTCGTCAGCAGGGACAGCCTACTTTCAAATAAATTGACCAAAAATAAAGGCCACTAGAGCCAAAAAATAGTCTTTGAAAGCCTTTACTGTAACAGATGATTTTTTTTAAATTAAAAATAGTTACTGCCATTTTTACAATGCATGTTAAATATTCTGATTTCCCTACCTAAAAATAAGTGGTCTCCATAAAGAAGTTTTTTATCTGTAAGTGATGTACATTTTTCTTGATTTTCAAATAAAATCATGTCTTTTGATCTTTTCTTTCATAAATGAAATGTTCTCAGGCTAGTATAAATGCTAATTCGTTTACATCTTTTTTATATAGCAGAACACTCATATTTGAACTGAAGAATAGCTTAGAAATCAATATTTAGTGAAATAATCCTTATTTTCAATTGTTGTTTTCACAATCGGCTGATCAGGAGCTCATTTAGTAGAATAACAAACAGGAGAATTAGGCTCATGTTTTACTTAAAAACATTATTTTTGACTAACATTAAACTTTTACAAAGTCCTCTTAGTGGATGTTACATTTAATATGGCCGAATATGAAGGGTGGTTTTTGTTTTTTGTTTTGTTTTTTTTACTTAAAGACGTTTAATAACATCCAACAGATAGATAAGGCAGTTTCATGGATTTGGAAACAGCAGAACATAAAATTCAAGGTGAAAAATATTGAATCAGTAGATACAATTAAATAAGTAGGTCAATTAGACAGGCTTAGATTTTATTTTGTCATTTTGTTTACACAAGTGTAAACAAAAGTAAATTTCTTTAAGAACAGCTCTCTAGACTATTTCATTTTTTAAAGTGCAGCCTTGATAAGGTAAGCAGAAGTGATAACAACATTGTGATGAAAAAACAGTAATGTAAACATATGACTGTATAGTTACGGGTTCTAACATTCAGGGTTGATTTATTTGTTTTTGTTTTTTGTTTCTTTTGTTATTTTTGTAACCCATTTTACATAACATTCAGCAGTCTAATGGCAGTGGGGAAGAAACTGTTCTGGAATCTGCTGGATTAAATTAATTAAATCAAATTAAATTAAATTCATTTTAATTTTATTTAATTATTTAATTAATAATAAATTAATTAAAGCAATAGTTTAATAAAATAGTGTGGAAACATAAAAGACCAGGTATTTAGAAAATATACTTTAGTCCCCACCAGTAGATGGCAACAATGCATCTTAACATTTGAGGCCGCCCACCAATAATTCTAAGAAGAAGAAATGATAGCCCCGTCCCCTGGCGCCCCGTTGTCATGGAAACCGTGGAGCGTTACCAACGGAAACAGTGAGTAAAGGTCTCGCGAAAGTGTCTTTTATATTTTAGTTGGACGTCATTTGTTGAAAGTTACTTTAAACGTGACGCATTTTAAATAAAAGCCAAAAAAGGGACCGAAGTTAATTTAGCAGCACCTGTCAGGTAAACAGTCAGATTTTACGTGTTTTTGCTGCAAACCTTGGATTTCCTAAGGCGGTGTTTTTCAAATATTTTAATAGTTTATTTAAATGTAGCTTTGGTATTTAAAAAAAAAAAGATGTAGACAGTTTTAACTGTTTATTAAAAGCTACAATGTTTTCTGTCCGACAGGTTGGACTCTGTCTCATCAGTAGGAAGGATTAATGGCTTCTGATGACAGAGACGGTTCACCTAAATCAAGGGGTTCGATGAGGAGCGGAAGGCTGGATGTCGCCCACAGCAGTGCCGACGTCACCGAAGGTAACAACCAGCTACTCTCACAAGACTAAAGTTACATTTAATTTTACAGTGACAGTGACAGATGGTTGTTTTAAGTTCCATAAACGAGGATGTTCCCACAGCTGTAGACCTTGGTCCAGGACAGGAGGCACCTATGGATGAAGAGGCAGATCTTCCCTCTCACCTGGAATGGTTGCAGGAATTGTCTGAGTAAGAACAAAAAATAAATAAAACCTAAATAAATAAACCTAAAACATGAATTCAGATTTTCAAAATTGTTAGCTTTGTTACATAATCCACAATATTGATGTGATCCCTGAAGTATAGGAGGAGTCTAAATATATGCATAAATACGAATGTGCCATAAAATTAGTATGTCCCATTAGGTAACGTGTATGTGTATATATATATGTGTATGTATATATATATGTGTATGTATATATATATATATATATATATATATATATATATATATATATGCAAATCAATTAATCTGTCAATAAATTTTTCGATTAATCGATTAATAATCGGATAGCCAAAAGTTCCTTAACGAAGACTTTTTATGAAATATACCCAGGTAAAACTTAAGGGCTTCTGGATAGAGCATATTGACAGACGAAAAAAAAAATAATTTTTTTAATTTCAAATGCAAAATATTTATGTTTTTTTTTTTTTACAATTTTGGTTTAATTGCTGGTCTAACTTGGTTGCTCTGTCTGCTAAAACTAAAGCTAAAACAGTACCAAATGATTCAGTCTCTATACTTCAACAATTAATCAATTACTAGATTACTTGACGATTATTTCAATAATTGATTAATCATGATTAATCCGATTAATTGTTTCAGCCATAACATATATATATGATTGAATTCACTCTATATTTATAAAGAAGTGAAGCAGTTACGAGTATTTTTAGGTGCTCACCAGTCTCTAACTTTGTTATCATGTTAAAAAAACAATTGGAAAGAATAGTTTTTAGCAAATCACCCGCTTAACCTTGTGCATTAACAACATATTGAATATGAAGCATGTATTGCTATTTACACTCTATTTTTTATGACTAATATTGTTTCCTTGACTAGAAATATAATTTAACACTAATGCCAATTGTTTTTAGCATCAGACCAGGGTTTTTTTTTTTTTTTTTTTTTCCCTTTTTGTATTTGTTTTTTTTTTTTTGCAAAAGCATGACATGAGCTGATTAGTAAAGGTGATTAAAATAAATAACCACGCTTACTATGAGATAATTTAACCAAGGAATTGAAACTCTCCATAATCAACGGTTGGCGTCCACAACCCAAACTGTTATTGTCTGGGGGGACGGTGAAGCCAGAAAAAAAGCCATGCTACTGTAAACATGTATTAATGATTTAAACTGTGACTGTATCCTTTAGTAACCAAGAATGAACATGTGCAGAAGCCCCTCATGCTCTGCAATAAAATTATAAATCTGCTTCTTAAAAGGGAAACTAAAACATTTGAAACACCAGGGGCTTAGAGGTAGATATAAGGTGGCCTCTGCCAGTTGTCTTCAAATGGTTCATCATAGAACCACTTGAGAACATATGACTGAGGATCAGGCTTCTGAATAAGCTAAACATAGATGCTCCTACATTGTAAAACGTTGAAATTACAACTGGCTCATCAGGGGCACAAATATTCTTGCATCTCTTAAATTGATTTAAAGCTACAGTGTGTACAGGTGCTGGTCATAAAATTAGAATATCATGAAAAAGTAGATTGATTTCAGTAATTCCATTTAAAAAGTGAAACTTGTATATTATATTCATACATTACATACAAACTCATATATTTCAGATGTTTATTTTGTTTAATTTTGATGATTACAAATGACAACAAATGAAAATCTCAAATTCATCATATCAGAAAATTAGAATATTGTGAAAAGGTTCAAAATTGATGGCCCCTGGTGCCACACTCTAATCAGCTAATTAACTCAAACCACCTGCAAAAGCCTTTAAATGGTCTTTCAGTCTAGTTCTATAGGCTACACAATCATGGGGAAGACTGCTGACTTGACAGTTGTCCAAAAGACGACCATCGACACCTTGCACAAGGAGGGCAAGACACAAAAGGTCATCGCTAAAGAGGCTGGCTGTTCACAGAGCTCAGTGTCCAAGCACATTAATAGAGAGGCGAAGGGAAGGAAAAGATGTGGTCGAAAAAAGTGTACAAGCAAGAGAGATAACCGCACCCTGGAGAGGATTGTGAAACAAAACCCATTCAAAAATGTGGGGGAGATTCACAAAGAGTGGACTGCAGATGGAGTGAGTGCTTCAAGAACCACCACACACAGACGTATGAAAGACATGGGTTTCTGCTGTCGCATTCCTTGTGTCAAGCCACTCTTGAACCACAGACAGCGTCAGAAGCGTCTTGCCTGGGCTAAAGAGAAACAGGACTGGACTGCTGGTGAGTGGTCCAAAGTCATGTTCTCTGATGAAAGTAAATTTTGCATTTCCTTTGGAAATCAAGGTCCCAGAGTCTGGAGGAAAAGAAGAGAGGCACTTCATCCACGTTGCTTGAAGTCCAGTGTAAAGTTTCCACAGTCAGTGATGGTTTGGGGTGCCATGTCATCTGCTGGTGTTGGTCCATTGTGTTTTCTGAGGTCCAGGGTCAACGCAGCCACATACCAGGAAGTTTTAGAGCACTTCATGCTTCCTGCAGCTGACCAACTTTTTGGAGATGCAGATTTCATTTTCCAACAGGACTTGGCACCTGCACACAGTGCCAAAGCTACCAGTACCTGGTTGAAGGACCATGGTATCCCTGTTCTTAATTGGCCAGCAAACTCTCCTGACCTTAACCCCATAGAAAATCTATGGGGTATTGTGAAGAAGAAGATGCAATACACCAGACCCAACAATTCAGAAGAGCTAAAAGCCACTATTAGAGCAACCTGGGCTATCATAACACCTGAGCAGTGCCACAGACTGATCGACTCCATGCCACGCCGCATTGCTGCAGTAATACAGGCCAAAGGAGGCCCAACTAAATACTGAGTGCTGTACATGCTCATACTTTTCATGTTCATACTTTTCAGTTGGCCAACATTTCTATAAATCCTTTGTTTTTATTGGTCTTCAGTAATATTCTAATTTTCTGATATGATGAATTTGAGATTTTCATTTGTTGTCATTTGTAATCATCAAAATTAAACAAAATAAACATCTGAAATATATGAGTTTGTATGTAATGTATGAATATAATATACAAGTTTCACTTTTTAAATGGAATTACTGAAATCAATCTACTTTTTCATGATATTCTAATTTTATGACCAGCACCTGTAATTTTTAGCGACATCTAACGTTCAGACTGCAGACCGCAGCAACATGAACATCTCCCCCCCACCGCTTCTCCCCCCCAACAGTACGGCGAGCGTTACGGGACAAAATGTCTTCAAAGACGTCCGCATCACCTACCTTCTCAAGTGATGAGGTTTGTTTACATAGATAATTTTAATACTGCCATCTATTGTTCAGTACCGTCTCAGTTCATCTCTCTCAACTTGCCGTAGTTACTTGCAATCACTAGTTTGTTGGCTCTGTGCTGCCGTAGCGCAAAGATGTCTGCCTCCATGGCTGCGAGACCCGCTCCTATGTAATTATAAATAACGAAATCTAAGGCAACGCAAATATTAAGGTTAAGAGGCTGAGCACGGAGATGATGATAAATAACATAGTTATGTATAATATATTACATTTCTGACTGTATATCCCTGTAATTATTACACACTGTAGCTTTAAAGGTATTTTTACAAAGAAATTGGGTTTCTTTTCAGTTAAATTTATGCGTTTATACTTCTGCACTAAAATATTAATTTATTTTAGGGCTTTTTAGACATCTTTGCAGTGGTATAAATCAGCTTTTTTTTTTTATTCATGTGAAGCATAACCAGGATTTCCATTCAACATTTTTTCCCCATATGTCCTTCTTCATCTTCCCCAAGAGAGAGCGATAGCGATGGTGACCTTACCCTTGTGGCTGACAATAGCAAGATGGAGAGTTATGCACGGATGTTCAAGCTGAGACGAAACCTGGACCAGCTGGACTCTTTTCAGCGACAGAAGGAGCGTGACGTGCAGACAGCCAGGTCTGGACCTGGCATTCATCAACCTCTAGAGCAAACTTGCCCGTTTAACCCAGATGAAATCTGATGTTCCTTTCAGGGATTTACAAACACCTTCACAGGCACATAATTGTCCTTCTCATTGTCACAAGTGGTTTCTGTTATTTTTAGGGTTTCTGTACACCTTGTTCCATTTGTTTGTTTTGTTATCCCTGTTTTCCATAATCTTCGCTCTGCTGCCCTTGTCACACGGGCGCCAATCATTTCTGTACCAAATGATTCAGCAATTTGCAGGAAATCATTCCTGCCTGAGAAAGAACATTTCCAGTAATGACCTCTCCTTCCACTTTTCTTCCCTTTTTATTTGTCTGCACGGCGAGCCATTAAGCACCTGATGAACTGTGATGCAGTCTCCATAAAACAAATGTCAGTCATCATCCTTCAGCACAAAGCAGCGTTGGTCAGCGTGGAGCTTTAGTGCTCTCTGAATAAGCATTGCTTTAATGGAACCTAGGCACAGCTGGCCTTAAAACGGTCTGAATCGTTTACGTTACAGCATGCATCAATTTCCTTTAGGAGAAAAGAGTAATTTTCCCTCAATCACAGAATGTAACCTTTTTGACTGAAAGAAAAAAAAAAAAAAACCTTTGTACTTTTTACACCAACCAGAGTCAATGCTTCATCTTCCAAAATTTGATATCTGGATTTCTTTTTATTTGCAGAATAATTTGGTTTTGATTGTTGCCTTAGAAAATCTCATTATTTTTATACCAAAAAGCATAATATAGTTCAACAGCTTTGAACTTTGCAGGATATTGACTAACAGAAGCATTTAACTTTATCACGTATTACATAACATACCTACTGTTTTAGTTCAAGTCCAAATACAAGGTGCTGGATAATTTTGGAGTGAAAACAAAACGATGCATGGTTTCCAAATTTCGTTTTCACAAGTCTAAATTAATTGAAATCTAATTTGACTTTTTTTTTTAAGACTAATTGTCTTTATAAAATGTTTTTTTGTAGATTCCACCAAAGTTCTGCTGTTTTTCAAAGGCTACAAAGCTTTGATGAGTTGACATAAGGTTAGCTAACAAACAGCAACTAGTGGAAATGTTGCAGTTAGGGTTAGGTTATATACAGAGGTTGGTAGTAACTAGTTCAATTTACTCTGTTATTGTTATTTGAGGGTTTTTTTTGTTTGTTTTTATGGCACTAGTGGCATTTTTTTATTTATTTAAGGACAGTAGGCTGACAGGAAAGGGGGAATGAGAGGGGGAGATATATGCGGCAAAGGACCACAGGTCGGACTCGAATCCGGGTCCGCCGCGTTGAGGATTAAGGCCTCCGTTCATTGGTCATGTGCGCTAACCACTGCGACACCGAAGCACACGCCATATTGAAGTCATTTTAAATTTTCGAATTATAATTTACTTAAAATATTTTATTATAGTCCTTAAAATACTAGAATTTACACATAAATTTACATTTTGGTTTGTTTTTAATACATAATTTTTATATCGGATGTTAAGATGAGTTATTAAGAACTTGAGTAGACTTTTAACAAAATAATTTTTTACTTTTACTTTGGTGAAAAATATGAGGAAGTACTGTCACAGTACTTCCTCATATTTTTCTCCAAAGTAAAAATTTGAACTGAATAAGAACTCTGTACTAGTGTTTTTGGGTATCCTACCCACCTCTTACTATATATAGGTATCCCATGGTTTGGACACCACACAGATCCCTGTTCAGTCCATTGTTTGAAAATTAAAGAAAATTTTGGCTGTTTAAGAATTTAAACATAAGAAGTCTTGTTTGCCTGAAGACAACACAGAAAGTGTATCTCCTGAAATCTGCAACAATGGTGAAATATTATGGTGGGAGCAGGAAAAACAGAAAAATTGTAAACCATCTACCATGTTTCTCTTCTGAAAAATTCACAAATCTTTTTTCTTTGGGTAAAACCCGAATTGAGTTTATTTAGGTTTTCCTTTATAAGATTAGATAAGATTTCCTGATGTGAAAAAGTAAAGAAGCGTATGTTCAACAATGCAGCTTTTCTTTTTTCAAACTTTGCTTTTTTAGAGAAAACCTGGAAATTTGCCGTAAGAATATAGAAAGCTGGATGAAGCAGAGGGACAATTTGGAGTGGGAAATAGAGCAGCAGAAAGCAAAAGACAGCAGGTGAGTACAGAATAAGAAACTATATAATCTAAGCATGCATTGGATAGGCAGGCTGTCTGTTTCCTTTCACTCATTCCTTGTCGTATTTAGCAGCGTGGCTGTGTTCCGACTGCAAGCTCAGCATAAGCAGTTGTGTCAAAAGCTGCAGAATGTGGAAGAGCTGGAAGGCCAGATCCGTGCTGAAGTGAGGCAACAAGAGTGGGTTCAACATGACGATGGTTTGTTTGTTCCTGCTCGGTTTGACAGGCATTAGTGCTGCATGAAAAGGGCAGTCCTCTCATTTGCTCGGATTTGATCACTGCCTCGGTTCTGAGGAAGTAAACAGAAGAAACACTGCAGTCTCAGAAAAAAGAACGACATGTCCAAAAAATGAATACATAACATTGGGTACACTCCTGCCTTAATACTATTATGTTCATGATCACTAATAGATCAAAGAGTCAGATTATATCCCCAAGCATTGCTAAACTGCTTTACTGTGTATGATGCAGATGATAACAATAAGAAATAGATTGCTGCATTTTGTTATGCTTACTCCCAAATTTCTCTGCTCCTCAGACTGAAGCTAAATGAGTTGGAGGTAGAACTTGGCAGGGTCTCCTTCCTCCGCCAGGAGGTGCAGAAGGAAGAGAAGCTCTTCCAGGTCCTTAAAGCACAGAAGGCAGTAACAAGGTTGCAGCAGGAGAAGAAAGTGTGCCAGAAGCAGCAGCACAAGATGAAGCTTCTGAGGGAGTAGGAACAACAACAGCTCACATCATTCATCACACAGAAGCATATTATGCACACAAAATATTGTCTTATCATTTTTGAATTTATCAAACCATTTTTCAGCTTTACAGAAAACCCATTTAAAAGGCTAAATGAAGGGTTGATGTTTTTGTTCTGATAGTAAACATTCAGCAAAGCTGAAGGAGGAGGAGTCCGACTGTCAAAGGAAGATTGAAGAGGCTCGAGCAAGCCAAAAGAAAGTTGCCAAGTACTTGAAGCAGACCATTAAGAGGTAATCACCAATAAACCATCGACACAGTCACGCCACAAAGGAGATATTTATTGTGAAGAGTCGACCTGTCCTATTGATTGTTCACTGACACGGTAGAGCTAAATAAAGCAGCCACCAGTGTTAGAGCTGAAAAGGATTCAATCTGATTGCTGTTTATAGGGCTGAAACAATTGATCGTGATTAATCGATTATTGAAATAATGATCAACATTTGGCAATCAACCGATGACTAGAGAATAGACTCTAAAAAATGCATTTAGCTGACAGAGCGACCCATTTAGAGCAGTAATTATAACAAATTGTAATAAAATGTATAAACATTTTGCATTCAAGATGAAAAAACGTTTTCATCTTTCAATATGCTCTAATCAAGACTCAGCAAGTGGAAACGTTTTAGGTCCACTTGGTTTAATTCTGTAAAAAATCTTCTTTGAGGAAAATTGCTGTCTCAATCGATAATTGAGAAAATAATCCACAGATTTATCAATAGGCCAAATAATTGTAAGTTGCAGCCCTAGTTGTATATAATTTGACCAACAGTAATCTCTTTGCCCTGTGCATGATGCTTATTTGTTTGTACAATGAATGTAGAGTGGGTTATCTCTGTGTTGTGTAGAGTGTAAACGCTATGAGAAAATGTGACTCTGATGGTAGAGTCATGATTTAACTTTACATGCTCCAATCTTTTACTTCATGAAAGACCTACCGGTATTTGGTCTGGACTGGTTTTGAAGAGTCTCGACAGCATTTGATCATATTTAGTGGAAAATTTACATTTTTCCTTTAAGCAAAGTGGACTCACTGCCATGTTCAAGAAACCAGTCTGAGATGATTCATGCTTTATGACAGTGTTATCCTGCTGGGAGTAGGCATCAGAAGATGGGTACACTGTGGTTATAAAGGGATGGACATACAGTAGTCAGCAACAATACTCTGGTATGCTGTGGCATAGACGCAATGCTCAATTGGTACCAAGGGGCCCAAAGAGTGAAACGAAAATATCCTCCACACCATTACACTACAACAAGCCTGAACCTCTTATACAAGTCAGGATGAGTCTATACTTTCATGCTGACGCCAAACTCTTACCCTACCATCCGAATGTTGGAACAGAAATTGAGACTCATCAGCCTGAGTAATATGGGATTCCGTTAGTGCCAAAAATATGTTTATGTGTCTTCTGGTGTGTCCATGTGTCTATGTAAGGTGTGCATGTATCGTGCTTATGTAATGGAAGTTGTATATGTAGTGGGTTAAAGTCTATATGTCAGATTCATATGTTGTGTCTATATGCTGTGAGCATATGCATTGTGTCTACATGAGGGATAATGTGCATTGCATTATTCTTCACTTTATGTTGTTTGACCATGTTGTTGAACCAGTCAGCATGTGATCTCGTTTTGCTGTTGTTTCCTTTGCTGTTACAGCCTCTCGTTCTCCCCTGTCGTCTCCCTCTGCTGTTATACCTGTCGTTGTCCTGTCATCTCCCTCTGCTGGTACAACCTGGCATTACAACCTGTTGTCTCCTCCGTTTGTTAAAACCTGTCGTTCTCCTCTGTCTTCTCCTCTGCTGTTATACCTGTCGTCTCCTCTGTTGTTAAAACCTGTTTTCTCCTCTGCTATTATAGCCTGTCCATGGTAATGCTCATTGAAGCTCAATTTTACAGAAGAGGCGTTTGTGTCATTGACTCTTATTTTGAAATCTCCATTAAACCGGAAGTGTGTACGTTATTTTATCATGACCGCATTGGTCAGTAAGTGAAAAACTAAGGCGTTTACCAGAGCTAATATGTATGAACAGTCAGATTTGAAGGGAATTATTACTGTTGTGACATTAAAGATTAAAACAATATAGATAAAATAGCCAACCACTTGCAAATGGAACCAGGTAACGGCACAAGACGGCAGCAGCAACCCACCATTGTAAAAGCAGTGCAACGCCCCGTTAACGGGGACAATCACAAGTATAACGGAGACAGGTTGTAACAACACAGAAGACGACAGGGGACAACGACAGGTTGTAACACCAGGTTGTACCAGCAGAGGGAGACGACAGGGGAGAATGACAGGCTGTAACAGCAAAGGAAACAACAGCAAAACGAGATCACATGCTGACGGGTTCAACAACATGGTCAAACAACATAAAGTCAAGAATAATGCAATGCACGTTATCCCTCATGTAGACACAATACATATGCTCACAGCATATAGACACAACATTTTAAACCACTTTAAACCACTTTAAACCACTACATATACAACTTCCATTATATAAGCACAATACATGGACACACCAGAAGACACATAAACATATTTTTGGCACTAACGGAACCCCATAGAGTAACATTTTTCAATTCTCCTATTGCCTGTGCAAATTGTTTCCTGTTCTTAGCTAACAGAAGTAGCACCCAGTGTGGTCCTCTGCTGCCCTAGCCCTGGCCATTCTGTTCTGACCTCTGGCATCAACAACTCAGTTGCACCTACAGAACTGCTGCTCACTGGATGTATTCTCTTTTTGGACCATTTTCTGTAAACACAGAGGGTTATGCGTGAAAATCCCAGTAAGATCAGCAGGTTCTGAAACACTCAGACCAGGCCATCTGACACCAACAGCCATGCCGCGTTCAAAGCCACTTAAATCATCTTTCCTCCCTATTCAGATGCTCAGTTTGAACGGCAGCAGATCGTCTTCACCATGCCTAGATACCTAAACACACCGAGATGCCGAGATGGGACTGACTGATTAGAACTGTGTTTTAACCTGCGATTGGACAGGTGTACCTAATAAAGTGGCCGGTGGGTGTAAAGTCCTCACTGCCATCAAAGTTGGATCAATTAACACCAAACAGAATTTCACTAAAACAGATTTTTTCCTTAGCTATAATGTTTAAATCTTGCTTTTAGGCAGCCCTTTTCTAACAGTGATCGCATAGAGGAAAGTGTAAAATCTGTGAAAATGATCAAACCCAGACTTAACTATACTGCATACAGAAGGTGCAATTTATACCATGGCTAATTCTGTTGAAGTAAAAGCTACCATAAAATCCCATGTAGAAGCTTTGTTGCTTCCACATTAATAAGCTTTGCTTTTTAGCTCTTCCCTGCTTTTTCCACATCACTTGTTTAATTAAGAATGCTAAGTAACACATTCAATTAGACCAGGCCAATCATCATGGGGAGAGTGTGTTAAGAAAAATAGAGCATTTATTTAAGGAGTTGAAATCCAAATCTTTTCTTTGCGACAGCCTTTCACAAAAAATCTATTACAAGAAATTAAATACAGAAAGAATCGCTTCGTCAAATTACATGTCAGGTTTAAGAATATATAACGCGTGTGGGGTTGGCTACACTGCCAAAAAGCACTCTTGTTTTCTCTCCACCTTACTCTAAGCTGTTTGTGTCCATTTTATTTTTAGGTTGCATCAGCAAGAGGCTGAGAAGGAGCAGCAGAACAGAGAGTTTATGGAAAGGAGGGTGCATGCTGTTGAGTCTCTAAAATCGAACATAGCAGCCAACCAAGTAAGCAGCAGAACAGAACTCAATCTGATCCTTGCTTTAAGGTTGTTGTTTTTTTTTTGTATATTTCAGATTTTTTTTTCTCCATCTACTCTGCTATGCACTAAATACTGTAAGCCTATTTTTAGAGGTGGAGGAGAACCATCTGCTAATTGGTTTAAACTGTAATTTCTGAACATGAGCAAAAGAGAGAGTTAAAACATAAAAGTCAATATTAAAAACCTTTCAAACGAACAGACGTATTCCATATTTAGACTCATTAAAAGCAGTGAAAAAGTTGAATTTGTTTTTTCTTTTTATTCTCTGGTTCCAATCAAAGGTTTCCATTTTCTTTCCTAAATATGGTTTGAAGATAAGATGCAGTGCATTCTGTACATAACCTGATGCTGTGGAAGAGAAGGAAGCCACATATTCCCATTTTATTTATTATTGCAGTTTTTGGCTAAACTTCTCCTGATGTTGTTTCCAATTTGATATTTGTTACTTTAGGAGAAATTACAGGTTCAGCAGAATAGAGCCAAAGAAGAAGCCCGAAAGAAAGAACAACAAGAAAGGCAACTAAAAGCTGCCTTGGAGGCTCAAGGCATCGACAGTATGAAACATATGTATCAGCAGAAACAGCTAGAGGAGGCAAAACAAAAACAACGGTATGTCCTCTTCTCTCCTCTCCTTTCCTTTTGCTACATGTATGTCCTCTACTCCCACTCCATGCAGTATGGTGTGGGTGTTTTTTTCTCTGTGTGCTGAGGAATACATGACCCCATTTCAGTGTAATGCAGTGTTTCTGATATATACCTCTAAGGGAATTGGAGGAGAGACAGAAGTCAAAGAGATTGGAGATCCAGGCAAAAGTTCTTCAGGAGGAACAGCTGCTAAAGAGTAGAAAAATTTACCAGGGAGAGCCTCCCAGACCAGCAAACAATGGCAGGCCCTTACCTTTGAGGATGAGAAGACAGATTCTCCGGTCTTATCAGGATCCTGACACTCCATCAGTCTGTGAGGAGACGACAACATCGGTGAGAGGTTCTAACATCTCCAATGGTGTTCCGGTCCCATTTGGTGTTCATACAATTGTTTCACATTTTCAAATTACTGAAAAAAAAAGGTTAACTGATTTTTTAAAATATTATTTCAGTTTAATATGGGGAAAAAAGTGAGAATTCTGACTTTTTTCTCAGAATTCTGAATTTAATCTCAGAATTCTCATTTTAATCTCAGAATTCTCACTTAAATCTCAGAATTCTGACAGCTAACAAACATGTTAGCATTAAGCCTTAGCCATGTCTGTTATAGAGACTACTGTAGCTCTCTTGTTTTAATCACCTTCTGCTCTTCTATTAATGAAATATCATCACCTGGGACCCTTTAGTACGGAAGAGGATTAGGGCCACTGGAAAAAAAAAAGTTTTTTTCTCAGAATTCTGACTTTTTTCATTGTCAGAATTCAGTCAGAATTCTGAGAATAAAGTCAGAATTCTGAGAAAAAAAGTCAGAATTCTGACTTTAATCTCAGAATTATGAGAAAAAAGACAGAATTCTGAGATTAAAGTCAGAATTCTGACTTTTTTCCCCATGTTAAACTGAAATAAAATTTAAAAATCAGTTAACTTTTTTTTTTTTCAGTGGCCCTAATCCTCTTCCGTACTTTAGGCATGTAATAGGTCGCCTCATTTTCCACCAATGTGTTACTGGCCCTCCCAAACAACTCACATCCTTGTAAGTGAAGCTGAGTGTTCGTTCCCACATCTCTTCCTTCATGGTGCCCATCTACATCAAGACCCAAAATTCTGAGATTAAAGTCAGAATTCTGAGAAATAAGGTCTTAATTCTGACTCTTTTCTATAAGTCAGAATTATACTGAAATAAAATAAAAAAAATTGTAAAAACTTTTTAAATTTTTTTCAATGGACCTAATCCTTTTCTGTAAAACACAGAGCCAGAGCTGCAGTAGGATAGTTTAGATCAAACCATTTTTATGTTTTTAGACATAAAACACTTTGTCCCAATTTCTGTTAGTCCAACACATAACATGTTGCAAAACAAACTGAGAAAAGCTGCAGGGCGTATCAAGCAACCTGGGCATGACATGGTGTTTGCAAATGTGTGTTTCTTTACATTCCTCCAGCTTGTGAGAGAGTCCAGTAACATCAGTAGGTCTTCATCCCAGTGCTCTGTTGGTGAACATCTGGAAGAAACGGAGGAAACTCTTCCAAAAGACACGGCCAACGAGAGCTTCACTGACAGCCTTACAGAGCCTGAATTCTCTGGGCTGTGGGAGCCGGAATGCAAGGTGTGCTAAAACAACAGCTCCTTCCTACTATATTCAGCAGCCACATAAACAGCCTGCAGGAAAGGGAGCAGATACTCCAGTGTTTACTGAGCTGGTGGGATCAGGATGGAAAATGACATGAACCACCACATGCTCACAGTGACGCTTATTTCTGGCAGGCGGAAAGACAAACATTAAGACTGTCTGTCAGCTCAGGTAGCAGAAGCCTGTCTGAAAGTAGGCTGAGAAGAGCCAGAGTATCTGTGATGCTTTTTCACATATTTAATGTCTGATATCTTAGCTCCAAAGAAGGCTAGACTTTGCTCTATAAATTGTTACATAAAATAAAAAAATCCCTTTAAAGGACTTATTTGATCTATTAAACATACTGGAACTATATAGTTCCGCTCCGTTAATTCAATATATACTTTACTGTAGTCATTTTTATATTCATTTATTTATTTTTTTGTTTTATTTAAGCTAATTGTTCGTTATGGCTGGTATTTCAAAAAAGTTAAAACCATCAAAATAATTTCCTTCATCCAGACAGTTAATTTCTTTGTGGCTGGACTTGATACTGCACCAACTTGTTGTTCTCCACATACCAAAATAAGTAGTTTTTCAAGATGATGCAAAGTTAAATTTAACACTATCATTAGTTATTAAATTAAGAAACTTAAGTGTACGGATGTGTATCATCCAGAATTGTAGAAAAATGTTCCTTTAATAGGGTAGTGCAGTAACCTGTATAAGGTTTCAAGCTTCTCTCCTTATCATTTTTTACTGCATTACTTTTATACTTTAGGTAGTTTTAAAAAAAAATGGTACTTTTACACTTTTACTTGAATAAAAAGTTGATATCCTAACTTCGACAAAAGTGTTTTTAAATAGGGTTTTTACTTCTACTTGATTATATATATATATATATATATATATATATATATATATATATATATATATATATATATATATATATATATATATATATATATATATATGTATATGTATATATGTATATATATATAACAACATAAAAAAATTTTTCTTAAGCAATTGTGTGGGTTGCAAAACCACTTTAGGGGTAATCTGATAGAAACATGCTTTTATAATGAGAGGTGTAATCAAAAGAGAAAAATGTATTTCCAGAAATCATCCGAAGTTTAGAAAGAACAATAATTATAGGGGGGTCTGTAAATGAGCCAATTGCCACAAAGGAAACTTAGCTCACTGTCTCATTCAGCATCCTGCAGCAGCTGAAATAAGGGTCGACAGGCTTCGGTTCCCATTGTGTTTGTGCCTTTGAGGCTTCAGAGCAAACACAGAGTTACAGCTCAGAGATCTGAGCATGAAACGAGTCAAGTGGAAGGGATCTGTCCTGCCAACATACAGTTCAGACCAATTACTATATCAAAAACTAACGTCCAATGCAGCAGCTGAATAAAAGTGGTGCAACAAAGCTAAGCAAATGAAAGTATTTTTAGCTTAGTATTTTTAGAAGAAAACAACAGCTGGAAAAACTAATATGCTTTAAGATCGCAAGCCACAGAGTTTTACATGAAGATAGAAAACAAATGCATTTACAAAACATCTATTTGATTCTACATCTAAATACTAATTGTATATAAGGGGAGTATCAAAGGACCAACTTTGTTATCTTTTAGACGTTTGCAGTGGAGCAATGTTAAAAAGTATATTTACTTGATTAAAGTACTTAAGTCCTTTTTTTTTAGTATCTTTACTTTACTTGAGTTATTTTTTCAGGGGGTCCTTATAACTTTCACTCCACTACATTTCAAAGTCGAATATTGTACCTTCTACTCCACTAGATTTTGAGGAAGTTGCTCGTTACTTGTTCCTTTTAGCTTAGCTTAGCTTTGTAATCCACTGTTACTGTTTCTTTTTTTAAATGAAATTTCAACATGCAGGGTAGCAGCCCTTAGGACTGAATTTGGACAGCACTGTTTTAGAGATTAGCATGGCATTATATATGTGAGACACTCAGGGCAGATATTATTTGTAATTTATACATTTTATTAAGATATTAGTTGTTGCCATGTGAGCAAGTGTTTCAGTAGGATGAGTTCTCAAATCAGAGTTGTAGATTCAACATTAAACCTCTATTCCATAGTGAAATTGTGAGGAGAATCAAGACACTCCTGTTTTCTTTTTGGCCTGTTTTTAAATAAGAAATAATGATCTAAATAAACTGTCCTTATTTTTTGTGGTATTTTTATACTGAAGTTCTTTACACACTAGAAAAACGATCTTAAATTTCTTAAATTAAGTTTATTTACCCTTAATTTGAGTCGGTAAATCAGTTTGCCAATGGAATGAGTTTTTTTACTCTTAAAATTAAACAATAAGACAATGCAACTCTGTTTTCTCATTTTAAGTGTAAATTGTCTTGTTCCTTTGGCAAAATGTCTCTTTTACCTAATCAATCCAATAACAAATGAACTTATTTTAAAAAAAAAATTACTTATGTAGATTTTGATTTTTTTTTTTTCAAAAATATACTCATATTAGAAAATTTAATTAGTATTTTCGAATATTTAAATACTTTAAAAATGCATGTACTTTGAATACTTAAGTATTTTCAAAAGGAGTACTTAAATATTTGAATAGATGTTTGAAGTTTTGCTTGTTGTTAAGTAAGTTTTGACTATGAGTATCAATACTTTTACTCAAGTACTAAGGTTGAATACATCGTCCACCACTGGTGGTTTGGGTGTAAAAGTTTGTTTATTGATCTGGTTAAAGATGTGTTGTGGTTTCAGGGGGCCATCACCGAGGATATGACACCTCCAAAAGCAGAAGTAAAGAAATATGAACCTTCCATGACAAGCAAAAAGTTAGGAGTGACATCTAAAAACATTAATGGAAAAGAGATGAAAGGGCCTCCATTCATCAGCAAACCCAAAGTCGTCCACTTTAAGGTACAAACTTAATGGTCAACCCAAAAATATGCTAATAGCCGAGGTTAATTTATGGTGTTATGTTTTTTTCTAATGTAAATGATCTGTTGTAGGACTTTGAAGTGGGAAAGTTGTATAAGCAGAAGATCACGCTAACAAACAACAGCTACACTGTTAATCAGTGCAGGTTTCTAAAGGTCTCTGCTTCACCAGAGGATGTCATTTCTGTCAAGTAAGCTTCATCGATGTGTTGTTTGTCTCAAACTGTAGCTGCTGGATGTTCTTGTGTTGATCGAAAACAGGTCAAATCTTAAACTGTGTCAATACTGAAATGGCTTCAGCCTCACACAATTTTAGTTGTTCAACTAATTTATAAAGGCTAAATAGTTTATTTCCACAAGTCAGATTTAGGTTACATAAAAACTTTATGTTTAGAAGGATTAAATTAGAAGAAAATCTATTTTATTTTCTACTGCTTCTATACCAGATGATTGATTTAAGGCATTCAAATTTACGCTTTGAATGTAAGCAAAGTCCTCCAAGACGCAGCATAGTTTGACAGGACCGTTTAAAACAGCCTGAATTTGACAGTACTGAAAGTAACATACAACCTAAAATATTTAATTAAATGGCGCTGCTTTACTCTGTTACATTTATCATATAAAGAAATCGTACTTCTCATATTAAAAAGATAGTTATTAAAACACAACAGAGAGGAGAATTCTAAGAGTTTTGAATGTGTTCTAAAAGCACAGTAATTGTGACATTGTGCCCACAGATATTAATAGGAAGAAAAGTGGCCATCACATGTTTGTGCCCTTCAAAACGCTTCTTTAGAAGCTTCTCTCCTCTCAGCCGATAGAAATCCAGCCATCATTTGTCATTTTTAAATATGATGGAATATGCGTGAAAGCAGAGGCTGTCCTCCCACATATGGACGCCAGTTTGGATAACCACGCGCACAGCTCTTCTTATGAGTCCCTGCTAAATGAGTCAGATGATGTTTCTTCTCTCTCCTCTCTGTGAAGTCGGCCTGCAGCCCACAGGCCGAGTTGAGATGCATTGTTCTCCGGGTTGCTCTCTGTGGATCGCTCTCCCATTAGCTCTTATATGGATTGAAGTGGAGTTCTTCTCTCCTCATTCTGCCTGACTGGGTGCAGAGTCTTTAGCAGGGTCAGCTGGAAACTACCGATGCTGTTATTGAGCACTGCTGCGGGATCACTTGTCTGAATATATTACCTTCTAGTTCTGCATTCCTTACTTGCATGTAACAGACACAAACTTCTACCACATATATGTAAATTATACATTTTATAACTTTAAACTTTGTAGTATGTCAAATAACAAATTCATTAACCACATACATCTAGTTGGGTAAGAAATCATCAGGAAAGATAATCACACAAGTAATCAAATTCTATTGACAAACAATACACCAACTGCAGTGTATGCAGCCCAGGAAGTAAAATTATTTATTCACATTTTTTCAGATTGCAACCACAAACTTTATTTTGTCAGGAACTAATTTAATCACAACACAAACTAGTGTATATTTTTAAAGTGGAAGGAAAACGATGCAAAATAGTTTTTAGTTAAAAGCCTTGAAAGTGTGCTGTGCATATTTATTTAGCTTCCTTTTTAAAGTATGTGTTATCATCTGTCTTTGGGGGGATTTCTCTGCCTTCTTGCAGATATTGAGTCTGATGCTTCTCCACATTTTCCTCTGCGGATCTCTTTGCAGTTCGGATGGATATTATCTGGGAATACCAACACCACTATCCACAAACTCTCAGTTGGATTTAGGTCTTGATCTTGTCTGGACCATTTAGACACATTTATTTAACCAACACCAATTCAATGTTATAATAGATGAATGTTGGAAGGGGAATCTCTACTTCAGCTCTAATATTTTGGAGCTTCTCCTCCAGGATTATCCTGTACTTACGTTTATGTTTACAGGATGATGTGCTGAGAGAAGGCAGAGCAGAAGCATATATTTCATATTTCCTCTACATGGCGAGTGGCAAAGTACTGACATAGGTTATATATATTGTTTCTCTCTGAATATACTTGTCAAATAGTTACCGTGTCAACTCCTGCATGACTTGTGGATCTCTGCAGCTCCTCCAGAGTTCTCCGATTAATGGTCTTGTTGCCAGCCCTGCGATTTATTGGAACGATCAGATTGTGAGAGATTTCCTTTTTCAAACTGATTATTTGATAAGCTAAACCTGCTTTAAATTAATCCACAAATGTATCCCTGACCTATCCAGTGTGTTCTTTAATCTTTCAGATTCTGTGTTAGTTTAATAATTCATTTTGGCGTAAAAGGAGCTCAATACATGCCACTCTTTTTGCATTTGCTTCCCTCCTTCCCTCATTAGTGCTACATTTTCAATGACATAAAGTTCCACTAATATAGACAGAAGCTAGTGGGTTTAAATGCGAGAAAATCCAAAGGGTGTGAATACTTTTACAAAGTATAAGCATTTTTCTTTGCATATATAGCACATTTCATTTGCAAACACAAATCATGTGCTTTACATGAACCAGACATAGTAATGAAACACTCATTGTACTGGCACAGAAAGATAAAAAAAAATAAAAAGAATAACATAGAAATAACACAGCTGAATATTAAAGGCAATAGAAATTCATTTTAGTTCAAAAATGATTAGAAATTAGAATGTTAGAAAGGGAAATGAAATGTTGTAACTAGTTTATTTCAACAAGTTTGTTGTATATGTTAATAGCTGTAGGCAGGATGGATCTTTGGTAGCGGTCTGTCTTAGAGTGAATCTGGAGAAGCCTTTGACTGACGACACTCTACTGGTCTTTAACAGTGCAAGAGGATTCTCACTGTCGTCCATAATGTTCTCCATTTTATGAAGAATTCTGCTTTGTGAAATAACCTCTAATCATCTTACAACAGAGTCGGCCTTCTTTAACACCTTGTTGAGCGTGTTGGTTGAATAATTTAAAGTCACAAAATTAGTATAAAAAAACAATAATAAAAGCATTAGTAATATCGGGGCATTGCGATGGACTGGCAAATTAGTATTGATAATAAAATAATGCTGCAGTTAAAGAGAGCTAAGGCTGGTTTAAGCTCAGAAACCAGGTCTCCTGTGTGTGTGTGTGGCAGTGAAAGCAGATATGCCCCCAACCCTTTCGCAGACACTCTGTTGCACCTCTCCAAAATTGTAGTTGACCGCAGACAGTTTTTCCACCTGGATCCCCGTTCTTTTTCACTCTCAAGTCCCTCCGTTGTCACACAAAGTTGGCTCTTGCGTTTTCCCACTTCCTCACCATCTGAGCCGTATCTAGACCCACAGCTAGTCCTTGAAATTGGGCATAAATTAAAAATATCTGCGTCATACCTGCGACAAGCTCACTGTGACACGCTGCTGTGAGAGGATAACCAGCCCTTTAGATTACATACATAGTGTAGTAAAACTGCTTCCCTAAAAGTTTAGGATTGTTATGTCTGTTGACGATGAAGTACAGCAGATTTCTGGTATAATTATTTACTATTGGATACTTTCATATTTAGGGTTTTTTTTGACTTACTTTTTAGTGGCTTCCACTGTGTGGTTCCTTTGGACACTTGGTGCTTTGTTCCTGGTACGATTGATTATCTTGTTAATACTACTGTTTTCATTACTTCAGGAAGCTGCATTAACCCAAATCCAATACAACACAGTGTGTCAAAGATCATTGTACACAGCCCAGAAATACAACTGTTAGTTGCAGCAAATGTAAAATGGTGACTGTTTAAAATTTCTGACAAGGTAATTCTCTTGTTTTTCACTTACCTTCCATTTTCATGGAAACACCAGTTACTCACACATTCAATCCTACAATACTGAGATCAGTCGTGACGACCATAAAGAACAACCTTAAAAGAGAAAAACATGAACTGGGAGCACACTAGCCTTTTTCACACCAGCCCATGGTTTCCTTTACGCCCATTGAAATGCTAAAAATGGCTTCCTCCCTTCCAACACCCATTCCAGAGTGGGCTCTGCTTTTTCTCTTCTGAGACAAAAAGCAGGAAAGCCTGAATTCTGTTAGATTTGGTAGAGAGCCACAATATAGAGTAGATGCTGTGTCTAGTGACTCTTCTAAAGATGAGTAGAAATGAGGGGCGTAGAGGAAAACACCCCTCAGGGAAGCGTACATCCGTGAGCTAAGGAGATAAATAACAGTTGAACTTATAGGGGTAGTGCCGTACAAGATCTCTTTGGCTTTTTGATTTGGTCCAAGCTTGGATAGCCTCAAAATTAAAAAAGATATTGCTAACTTCTTTATCATGACGTTATAAATACCTCCAAAACCCAGCTTTACTTTTTAACTCAAAATGCTTTACAGTACCTTGCGAAAGTATTCTGCCCCTTTTAACTTTTCAACCTTTCTGCCACATTTCCGGCCTCAAACATAAAGTTGGGCACAATCATGAAGAGTAACCAAATGTATAGAATATTTTAAACACTTTTAAGAAACAAGAAAGTAAAGAGTGCAGTGTGAAAAATTAATCAGTCCCTTTAATTTGATGATTCAATGATGGTGAATTGAATCCACCCGTGTGTAATCCAGTCTATGTATAAATATATCTGCACTGTGATAGTCCCAGAGTTAAAGCACAGAGAGCATCATGAAGAACAAGGAACAGACCAGTCACGTCTGACATACTGATGCAGAAGTGTTTAAAGCTGGATTTGGGTACAAAAATATTTCCCAAGCTTTAAACATCCCAAGGAGCACTGTGCAAGCACTACAATTGAAACCACTGCAAATCTATGAAGACCAGGCTGTCCCCCTAAAACCTTCAGCTCCAACAAGGAGAAGTGTGATCAGAGATACGGCCAAAAGGCCCATGATTACTCTGGATGAACTGCAGAGATCTACAGCTGAGGTGGGAGACTCTGTCCATAGGACAGCTCCTGGTCATTAAAGAGAAAATCAACACCATGCTAAGATAGAGAGCTGTCTAAGACCTTCAGAAAAAATATTGTAGCAGCTTATGTTCAAAAAAGGTCTCAAAAGAATTATAGATCAGTCATTCCGCTGTGCAGGAAAGGGTCGGCAAGTGGGCATGCAGAACAACTGCCAACATGTCAAGGTCTGTTAGCCTGCTGGAACTGGCCACCTCACCATCACTAAACCCAACATAAATTTTACTGTGTGTCAGAGGGAGCTAAAGAAAAAGGGAGAACAAAAGGGGTCCAATTAAAAGTGAAGAATAATCAGAGCCTACAACATGACAATGACCCAAAACCTACCGGGAAATCTACCAAGAACTTTCAGAGAATAGGGAATAGGAAGATCTTGATCATATTTAGATGGTTTGGAAGGACATGAAAGGGGCTGTTTATGTAAGAAACCTCACATATGTGGCACATCTTAAAGTGAGAAGTGAGGTATCCTTTCCTTAATTCAGGAAGTGGTTGATTATAAGCCGAAGCTTTGTTTGACCCCGTGCACACAGCATTGTCTTATACATAAAAAAGAAATGTTGAGCCGCAGTTGTTTCTCTACATCACCACAGCGCACTTTTGTCTTACAGTGGCATCAATTGAGAACAGGCTTTAGAGCAGAAAGATTTGAAAATTACTGCCCTTCCTTCAGCATATGCACAGTATGACTTAGCCTGATAAACTAAATGTGAAATGAAATGTGTAATTTAGTCTGACCCTGATGAATGAGACATCGGAAGACTGTTGACGAGAACAACCCATTTTTTTTCAAACCACTGGCTCTGACCAATGAGTGCAACTGACTGTGACGTAGTAAGCGTGACAGAAAGCTGGTGGGGGAGTGTAAACAAACAGCCTGTCAGTAAAACAGCAAACACGTCCTTCTTAAAATGAATGACTGTAGAGCCTGTAGAGCCTCTTCCTGCACATGTTTCAACGAAAACCCCAAGTCTAATCCTTTCAAAACTGATTCCAAAGTTGAGTCAAAAATCGCCATCAGAGCCAGCGGACCTTCACACTCGACCATGCCGCGAGAGGGCTGCTGCAGACAGGCTGAGGTTAGCCCTGGCTGCCGTTAGCCTTGGAAGTCCTCTTAATTGTTTTTTTAATTACGCATTAAATCGATAAATGGACCATATAGTGACACTTTAAAGTGTAATATTCTCGCCTCAAATTATCTTAAAAAGTTCTTTTATTGAACAACAGCAACAGGAAAAGAGAACTTTGCCATCTTCCTTGTTGTGCTTTCTCCAGCGTTGCGCAGATTTGTCGTCACGCCCCCACACCCCGCCCCCTGTGCATCTAAAAATTCAAAACACATCTCTGCGTTGTGATTGGCCTGCCAGTTCTAGGGCCTGGGGCATTGATCAAGGCTAGACCAAACTCACAGGCAAAAATGATTTTGGCCGTTGGTGGGTAGGGCTAGTTTATTAGGCTATAGTATGACTGCAATGAGTAGAAATTAAACAGGGAGTGTTTCTTACCAATGCACAAGTTTTTTTTGTTTTAAAAGACAGACCAACACTGTCATCTTTCCCAGGTTTTATAATTTGTATTTAATATTTTATATTAACCTTTTGTTGTTTTCATCTTTTTGCTTTTATTGCTTTCATATCTATATATATATGAGCATTTCCTAATGTTTATTTCAACAGCAAAAACTGTTTAATGGCCTCATTGTCATATTTGATCAGCTGAATATCCGGCACAAATAATAACAATCCCTAGACTTTGAAGAAATAAGTCTGAAAGTGATTGTTAGAGTTCTTCTGTAGTGTCTTTACCCTGCAAACATCAAGTTACATACTTTAAAGGGTGTTTGAATATTAGGTGAATACATTTTATTCCAAACATAAGCTTTGGGAGTGTTGGCCTAGTAGTTAGAGCAGTGCGCTTGTGCTCTGAGAAGGTTGTAGGTACCCGGTTAGATCCCAACAGCCTGCACTCTGGGTTCCTGAGCAAGACAAGTAACCCCTGATTGCTTCCTGGGCGCCAGACAGTGGCAGTCCACTGCTCCCCAAGGCGATGGGTCAAATGCAGGGAGTGAATTTCCCCATTGTGGTATGATAAAGGGGTTTACATATAAAGCACCATGGCATATTTACACAATATAAAGAGTTTTTAGCCTTCTGCATCTCTTTTTAAATTACTCAGAATGAGAATGAGGTTATTTAGCTCTAAATCATGTCTAAAAGTGCTTATGATTTACAGTAGGAGAAGCCAGTTGGTATCAACACAGCTGTTCACCACAGCACAGACAACTGACAGTGATACTATAAAAGCACATTTTCGCTTCATCGTTTCAGTCCTCTTCAGCGGACACATTGGCCTCATTCGCAGCAGTTTATATAGGGCTGTAGCAGGCATTCTCAAATGCTGCCTCACTCAGCATTTAATCCCAAGTGAACTGCTCTATTTTCCATCACACATCTTTTCATGCCACCTGTCTTGAAGTTAGAAAATAACAAAAGCACAGACAATGGATTTCTACCCATGGATGAAAAAGAAAATGATTGTGATGGTACAACAGGACATTTCTGATTTTCCATCCAGTAAGCAGGTGGAGTCCTTTTATACATTTCCATTTCACAGTCGTGAACCACATGGCAGCTTCTCCCTGCTTGAGAGCTAAACCAGCAGCTTCAAATAACAGGCCAAAATTAAACCTACTGTACTGATCTATTTCCTCTCTGCGCTGATGTACTGTATGCACAGAGGGGTATTCATATGGGGATATCCGCCGATGTCATGGTCAGGCCGGCGCCTATCAGCTATCTATGGGAAAAGGGTCAGGATACACCCTGGACAGGTCACCAGTCTGTCGCAGGGCAACACAGAAACAAACAGGAGCAATTGAAAGACACAGATTGAGCTAACAGTCATGTTTAGCCTGTGGGAGGAAGCCAAAGTACCCGGAAAGAACTACACTATATTGCCAAAAGTATTTGCTCACCCATCCAAATTATTGGAATCAGGTGTTCCAATCACTTCCATGGCCACAGGTGTATAAATTCAAGCACCTAGGCATGCAGACTGTTTTTACAAACATTTGTGAAAGAATGGGTCGCTCTCAGGAGCTCAGTGAATTCCAGCGTGGAACTGTGATAGGATGCCACCTGTGCAACAAATCCAGTCGTGAAATTTCCTCGCTCCTAAATATTCCACAGTCAACTGTCAGCTGTATTATAAGAAAATGGAAGTGTTTGGGAACGACAGCAACTCAGCCACGAAGTGGTAGGCCACGTAAACTGACGGAGCGGGGTCAGCGGATGCTGACGCGCATAGTGCGAAGAGGTCGCCAACTTTCTGCAGAGTCAATCACTACAGACCTCCAAACTTCATGTAGCTCAAGAACAGTGCGCAGAGAGCTTCATGGAATGGGTTTCCATGGGCGAGCAGCTGCATCCAAGCCATACATCACCAAGTGCAATGCAAAGCGTCGGATGCGGTGGTGTAAAGCACGCCGCCACTGGACTCTAGAGCAGTGGAGACGCGTTCTCTGGAGTGACGAATCGCGCTTCTCCATCTGGCAATCTGATGGACGGGTCTGGGTTTGGCGGTTGCCAGGAGAACGGTACTTGTCTGACTGCATTGTGCCAAGTGTAAAGTTTGGTGGAGGGGGGATTATGGTGTGGGGTTGTTTTTCAGGAGCTGGGCTTGGCCCCTTAGTTCCAGTGAAAGGAACTCTGAATGCTTCAGCATACCAAGACATTTTGGACAATTCCATGCTCCCAACTTTGTGGGAACAGTTTGGAGCTGGCCCCTTCCTCTTCCAACATGACTGTGCACCAGTGCACAAAGCAAGGTCCATAAAGACATGGATGACAGAGTCTGGTGTGGATGAACTTGACTGGCCTGCACAGAGTCCTGACCTCAACCCGATAGAACACCTTTGGGATGAATTAGAGCGGAGACTGAGAGCCAGGCCTTCTCGTCCAACATCAGTGTGCGACCTCACAAATGCGCTTCTGGAAGAATGGTCAAAAATTCCCATAAACACACTCCTAAACCTTGTGGACAGCCTTCCCAGAAGAGTTGAAGCTGTTCTAGCTGCAAAGGGTGGACCGACGTCATATTGAACCCTATGGATTAGGAACGGGATGTCACTTAAGCTCATATGTGAGTCAAGGCAGGTGAGCAAATACTTTTGGCAATATAGTGTATATGCAGATTGCAGCACTGTTGCATCAAGAACATTCTGGGTTTGATTCCTGACCCAGGAGTCAACCCCATTAGTGAAATTCGGACTCCCATTTGTATTTAACAAATGACAAAGTGGTTGTGTCTGGTCTTGTTCTCTTAAAAGTAGATTTAAATCATTTTTCAACTTTCTAAAAGTGAGATTCTTTAAATCTTTAGCTATTAGAGATGACGGTGCATTTTGTTTTTATAAATTTTTATGTTTTTGATACATCTATAGTTTTGTAAGTTGTCTAAAAATACTAACAATTGTTTTTTGCTCACGTTGATTTCTGCTTTAGCTTTGATCCTCCTGGTTCTTTAGCTGCTGGGATGTCATTCGACATAGAGGCTCTTTTCCAGCCTCTGGTAAGTACTGTCGGCGCTACATTCAGACACCATATTATGACCTGCATGTTAGTGAAGACTCCTTCCTTCTCCAGATCATTTTGTGTTGTTGAGTAACAGAGCAAACAAATAGGAACAAAACAGCATTGATTGACCTCTGAAAGGTGAAAATATTCTCTTTTTTGTATAAATCAAACTCACAATAGAGGTATTTTTTGTCCTTTTATAACTGCAATATTCTATATGGTGCATTCAATGCTCTATTTACTAGTTCCCTGCTAAACTTATTAATACACCTGACTCACATCCTTAACTGTTTGTTATGTGTCCTAAATTAAAATGGTCAATGCATGAGCATAAAACTGTTTTGAGATCAACAATAGACACCATTTTTTTTATCCCAAATGTTCTTTTTTGTTGTTTTTTTTTTTTTTACTCTGCTGAATCTAAGTAGGTGTTTTCATGCCTGCTCATGCTTGTCATTGCAAACCTTAAAACACAGTCTTGGGATATACTTTTTATACTAAAATATTTTTTTAATATTCGTTCTATCAGTATTTTCTTTATCGTTGCCATAGAGCAGATTTTTCCAAATGCTTTGACATGTAGGTCCAAACTGTCGGGTTGAAAGTGCATGTTGGCCTCAAAATCAGACACACACAAAAAAGGATTTATTATTATTTTTATAAATAAAGTCAAGATGGACATTCTAGATGACATAACAAAGTAATCTATTTCTATATTTTGCAACCTTCTCATCAGTATATCATATCCCCAAAATCAGAGATGGGAAGTAACGAAGTACAAATACTTCGTTACTGTACTCAAGTAGATTTTTCTGATATTTTTACTTTACTTTACTACTTATTTTTATGGTGACTTTTTACTTCTACTCCTTACATTTTTACACAAGTATCTGTACTTTCTACTCCTTACATTTTAAAAAATTGGCTCGTTACTTTAGTTTTGAATCATTTCAATGGAGTTACCGTTATTATTTTTTACGTCATCAATACCAAATTCAATCTAATAGGATGGGAATCTACGTTGCATTTGACGCACCACCACAACATGAATTGACAGATTCTGCGGTATTCATTGGCGGCAAATCATTGCAGCTTGGTGGCGTTAGCATAGTAGTATGGACGACGAGATGATTGAAAATGAACACAATGGAGATCTAGTCCTATTGGCAGACATCCATTTAAAATGTAGGCAACGGCATGAAAAAAGTGGTTTCTACTTTTACTTTTATACTTTAAGTAAATTTACAAGCCTGTACTTTTACTTACTTTTACTTGAGTAAAGAAGTTTAACCACTACTCCACCTTTACCAGAGTATTTTTTAACACAAGTATCTGTACTTTTACTCAAGTACGGAAAGTCAGTACTTTTGCCATCTCTGCCCAAAATTGACCAGAACATTTAGGGGGGTATTTCTGCTCAAACTTTGCTGTTATTTTGGATTTGTTTTGTTTTTTTGTCAGACTTAATTTGTTCATTTTATGTGATAAGGCACATTTTAAATTCAAAAGGACATGTTTTTATCTCCAATCTCTGCAGAATAATGAAGACGTGGAGGGAGAGCTTGAGTTTGGATCATCCCTGGGCCCCTTCTCAGTTCCTGTCAGATGCACTACAAAAAAATGCATCGTGAGTAGACCCTAATAAAACCAGAGGTATTTGTTTTCCTCACCTGAGTTGGTATATTTCATGTTTTTCTTACAATTCTGTTTGTTTGTTTTTTTTTTACTGACTTTACTACACAAGTACGGTGCGCATCTGGGGTTCAGGTGTTTGTCTGTTTATCAACACAGGCTAGACTCAACTAGAGACAGACAGCATAGAAAAGCAAGTGATAACTTCACAGGTTTAATACAAAGCCGCTCAGTCTAAACAAGCCTAAATCCTGAGGGCATAAAAAACAAAGCATCAGAGAAGCAAAGGGCTGTATGAAGAAGAGAAGAGTGGAGCTGTGGACAACCTGTTCAGGATGAAAGATTCACATAGTGAATATAAACACACCGGTATAACTTCATGGAGCAGCAGATGAGGGAGGAAACCCAACTATTTATCATTACATCCATTTTATAGTAACCTTTAATGACTCCTTAAACTACTACACCAGTTTAATTAGGCTCACCTCCATTAATCAGTTTATCTAATCCTCTGAGAAAATGAAGTGGCAGCACATCAGTTCCTGCTAATTCACTCAATTAAATATGCAGTGTTTATGATTATTTCTTTTCTCCAGCCGGAGGTCGACTGTCAATTGGTGGATTTTGGCTCTCAGGTGGTGGGTCAGACTATTTCACGCACTATCACCCTGAGAAACAAGGGAGCACTGGCCACCTTCTTCAGCTTGGACACCTCCACACATCGCTTCCCAGAACGCAGCTGCGTCCAGATGCTATCCCAGTCATCCACCAACACAAGCCTGGTCTGTCATTACTGTTAAACTCAGAAGCTGCTCTAGGTGTAATGCTTTTCCCCCTTTTTAGTCTTATCTTTGAACTGTGACCTGTAAACCAATTTGGAAATGAATTAAGTACAACCTTTAACTGTAAGATTTCATTGTGTACAAAATAGGTTATTTTGTTATTTTGTTTTGAGATTGTTCATGTGCTGCTTATTATTATTTATTTGTGTTTGCTTATAGAACAAATACAGTGACAACACAACTTCAAGCGATCACCAGATTTCTGATTCATGGGATTCAGAGGAGGTCCAGCCAAAGAGTCTTTCCAAAGACTTAGAGCCTATAAAACCAGGTAAAATTCTGCAAAGTCTGCACAGGAAAAATTAAGAAAAATATCCTTTCCAAACACAAATAACTTAATTAATTGTTAATTGCCTCGCATAAACATTTATACTAAAAATGTCTTATATTTATCATTTTTAGGCTTCAGGTCGTTCACAGCTTCTTACAGGTTTGCTTTAAATGTGCTGAAGGAGATCTTGGAAAAACGGTTCCAGCAAGCTATTTTTTGAACATACACAACCGTGCCTCTCCCTTTAGACCATCCCTCGAAACCATGCCTTCAAAACACATGAACGCGCAGGCTGTCTTCAGAGCTGATGCAGTGATGCAGAGCTCTATGGTCACTCCTCTGAAACAGTTTATTAACGACGAAATTAACTTAAAATGCCAAAATCTGCCCGTAAAACATGTTCGCTTTTATTATCCTGGTGCCTGCAATTTGGATGATGTACATGAAAAATGCATTCCAGCCCCCGCGGCAAACTGCAAGGAGGCGACCGGGCCATAGGCTGCGGTTGAATGGGATTCCTAGTTACACTGGTGTACGGGGGTCTGTGTGGCTCCGACAGGAATAATATTTGAAGGCAGGATGGTAATCTGGATGAACTGATTGCACTGACAATGTTTTCAGGTGGACTTTCTCACTTCAAAATAGATTAAAACTACTTTTTACCCACTGATCACAGCAAATATAGCTGCCATTGTTACAGGCAAAGAAAGGATAGGGTAGCTCCACCCAACGTGCATCAGAGCCACTTTGACCAACGCACAGCCAGAGCAGCAAAGATGCTTACGCCACGCGTCAGAACTAAACTTGTACAAGCATCAAAAATGAAGCAGCACCCGCGTTTCTGCTGCTCTTGCTGCTTTAGGTGTGAACGTAGCATAACAGTGGCTAGCTTCCAGCCATGGTGTCCTGCACGAGCATTGAGGGGTTGAATCATTCATGTGTCAGGGTACACGCACCGGGCGGAGGGACAAGCAGACCACCATGATTGACGTGTTAGAGCCAAATCGTGTACAACGGACCGTGTTTTGTGATTGGTTGGGGTTATTCATTGATTTCTCACTGTAGCAGGGATCATTTATTTTAGTTTCACTTCCAGACCTTCTATTTCACTGCTTGCTAAGCGGCTGTGAGATCTTCAAGCCACATGGTAAAAGAAAATGCGTCAGAAAAGATCTCCTACTGCACCTTTAAGTATTGCTGTGTGTTTAGCTTTAGTCTCTCCATCCCAGCTGAAAAAGTCTCCTCACATCATGATGATGTCACCACCTAGAATCATTTCAGAGTTATCAGTTCTTGTTGATGTGCAATATTAGTTTTGCACTATACATAACGTTTTTAATCGTTTAAAAGGTGCTCGGTTCTGGGTTCAACGTTTAGGACAGGGCTGTTTCTTCACTAATGTACTCTTTAAAAAACTCTGCTGTATTTCACTTCAGGTAAAACTGCACATAAGGTAACTGATTACTAAATATGTGACTTCTAAAGGGAGTTGTTTTTGCTATTAAGGTAGAAGAGACTGAATACAAATGCAATCCAGACTTTCTAAATTGTTTTGAAACTCAGCTTTCATGCAGAGTTGAAAGCCAACTTCACAATTATGCTTTATTTTTAAAAATAATGCAAGAATTGTGAAATACAGTAAAGTTTGTAATTGTAAAAAAGGTTTTTTTTTTATTCATAAGGTGTGGATACTTTTGCAAGGGAATCTAATTTCAGTATATATTTAACAGAAGTGCTGATAAATAAGAGTTGGAAAATCTGACTTGTCATTCTGCACCATCAGGAGTTTGGCACGAGTGTCAAACACATGCACCATCTTAGTTTGGCAGATGGCAAACATTAGCAAAATTAACGTGCATCTCAAAATACTGCTGTGTATAAATTCAGACTCACTATGCAAATTAGCTGTATTTGAAAAATATTTCTGTAAAGCTCCAGTCCTGGAATCTACATGAGACTGCTTCCAAGACATAGGGAGGGAGCTGTGGCTCTATCTCCCCATCTCTCCATCTAAGCTAGGACATTTGGTCCTTATAGGAACAAACTATAAAGGAGGACTCACAGAAAGCACAGGGTTCACCTTGCTTTCACTGCTGGTGATAAGGAGGCATCTCCTCTTTTATGTAGTCTCACATCTGAAGTCTTCATCGCTGTGCTCAGCACTCTCCATAGCTGATGCTTTGATAAGAGATTCAGTCTTTTGCTTCTGCTCTGCAGGCTTTGGAAGGTGTGTTGTTGCATCTCTTCAGCACGGAGAGACTCCCTTACCATCACCCTAATCACCCTTCAAAATGTACGCTTGGTTATAGAAACATGCTGGTTTAATCAAAATTCAATTTAAACTTATGAGGCAAAATTCACTCTTTGGCACATTTTTGGTCTTCCATTTATTCCTCTACTGCTTCCAAAAAAAAGCTCAAGTGCTAAAAAGGGAAACATGCAGCAGCCATCTTGGCAATAACTAAATATTTTGTTGGTTTCTAAAAAACCTCAATTTCATTAGATCCTAATCCACCAACATAGCCCCTCACCAATCAGAGAAGTGTAATATACAAAGAAATATCAGACATTACTTTTATATGAAATATTTCATGGAATTATTATTAGAATAAACCACATACACAACTTAAAACTGCCATTCATACTTGCTGAAAATTTGCAGATAATTCACTTGCCCTCAACTCGAACATGTTGCCAGTTTGTATCAAAAATCCACATATGGATGCTAGCATTATTAGTATGTTATTTTTTTCTCAGATTTTAAGACCTGAAACAGCAAAAATTCTTCAAAGACGCACCTAATAAACATTTTATTTACAAATATTTTAGACAAGTTAAAAAAGATAAAACAGAAAAACCAAAAATTGCAAAAATGTGGTTTTCAATTTAGATCTCTGATTCTCTCTCAAAGACAGCAGTGCACTGCAAAAACGATCTAGAAATAAGTAAAAAATATCTTAAATTAAGTGAATTTACTCTTAATTAGTCTATTTGCCTAAAATTACAGCCATTGAAACAGCTCAGCTGGGTTGGTTCCTCCTACTGTCAGTACTCCAGTTGAGGGTGGATGAGGGAGGATAGCATTCCCCTTCTTAAAAAAATCTTAAACATTATCCCCCTTCTTAAATGACCCCCCCCCCCCCCCCCCCCACCCCCACCCCCACTCCCATACCATCCTCTATGACATTTCATTACTGAATGTGTAACATTTCTACTATATATTAACAGTAATTACAATAATTTTGCCCTTTCAACATTTGGTGGGCTGCAGGTTTACGAGTAGCCTAAGCAAAATAAATAAAATCAAAGAAGTGGCGTACCATGACTATGAAGCCGATCCCAGTGGGGAAGTCCTATGCATTTCTCCCTAACTTTGTAGGGGCAGTGATAGCCATGGAAGTCCAGGGACTAACTGCAGTTCTACTGTAAAGTGCCATGATCAAGGTCAATGACCGGCGTACCTGACATGTAACAACCATACTATGCATATTGCTTTAGGTTAATAGACAATATTAATTAGGCTATGTATGCTTCCACAAAAAAAAATCCCCCATCCCCCACTCTTTTTTTTCTTTTTCTTTTTTTACAACTAGGCTACTCCCTACTGTATGTTAAACTCCAAGAAAACAAGGGATGAACAATCAATGTGCATTTTCAGCTGTTTTTTCTGTTATGTATCTGTTTTGTCCAGAAACAGCTGCTGAGTCTGTCAATGAGGCCGTCCTACCCTCTGACATGGACACACAAATAAACCAGAACCTCTGGGACTGTTGTGATATCACATTTGGGGATGTAAGTATGAAACACTATCTCATCTTTTGTTTATAACATGTATGGAAATTACTTATGTTTACATTCTTTTGGAGAATACTTCAAAGCAGTGGTTGTAAAAACTGCATCTAACCGTACATAAATCTGTAGAAGTGATGCTGACTGATGGAGATGAGAGTAAACTGCTTTGAATTTGTTATTATTGTAGTTATTTTTAACAGCTCGTTTGTTTCAGCTGTGGTATCCTCAACATCTGTCTTAACTTTTGTTCTGCTTCACATAAATATGAAAAAATGTGAGTACAAAGATGTATAATTTTTAATTTATTTTGACTACCTCGCTACTGTAGAAGACTATAGCCTTCTTTTTGGCTGCTAACCCTGAAGCTGTGTAGCAGATCGGGGTCCATTCCTTTTTTTCTACTGGGAGTCTAATGGTGCATCACCTCTCCCTCTGTGCTTGTTGCGACTCTGGGTGTTGCGCATGCCTGCATGCCCTCAGCTCTGTTGTCATTTTGACTGATATGTTCGCATGAAATGGTTGCCGGTTGCATCTTAAATTGTAGAATATTCATCAAACTGTCGAGTCAGTGCCTCACGCTTCTTATGTTTTTATTATTGCTCTCAATTTACTGATGGTTTATGGAGGAGCACACAGCCTCACTCCTGCAAGCAGAGTAACATTGCAACCCTTCTGTGTCATTTCAAATTAATGCATGTGACTAATGGAGGCTAAAATCCACGCTGTGGTAATGCTTTAGGAAAGACAAAAGACCGTTTAAATAATAAAATTTTGCATATTTTCAATATACATGTAATGTTGGGCCATATAAATTAATATCAAAGGTATAGTGAAGGAAGTTCTTTTTCCTGGTGGATCATCAAAATAGGTGGTACTCGTAATCATCAATCTTTGTGGTGATATTTTAATGTAAGGCCGTCTGATGTGCTCGTCCCCATTTTCACTTATCGGTGGTGAGTCTGACATAGAAAATTGCAAATCTTATTTTGGAAAGTAAGCTTATATGAATGATGCAAACAGCAACTTTTAAACAGAGCATGCACGAGGAGAAATGGGCTTGTGCACACTCTCACACGTAATAGACGTTCCCTCTCTGGAGCGGGTACAGGGTTGTGCATAACCATTTTTTTTTTAAGTGGAGAGGGCGGTTCTTTTTAAAAATTCATGAAAATTCTCCACTATACCTTCAATGGCAAAGCAGTGATTGGTGATCAATTAGCATACATGAAATTATAAATATTTAAGTATTTTGTTGACAACCCTTAGCTCACATGTGGCATCAGGATAAAACTGTAGATGGGTCATTGCTTCAAATGTGACTCAGATGTGCTACATGTTCCAATCTGGGACTCTAATCTGTAAGCATGGGCGCTAAAACCTATATAAGTACCATATATGAAAGCAGCTCAAACGCACTGCAGCTTATGTAAAGCTGTCCCTTAGATTTAAAACCTAAATTAAGTTCTGTCCATTTCCCTTCACTGAACTTCAACTGAGAGAAAAAAAGCTTTAGGGATCTATGAAGAGCCCCTATAGTTTTTTTTTTTTGTTGTTTTTTTTTTTAAAGATTATTCATTTTATTTTGAAAAAAACTACACTCTATGTTGATCATGTTTGTGCCTGCTGTGTTGTTTACTTCACTAGATAAGAGAGGGAGAGGTTGGACCTTCTCAAAGCATCAAGCTGGAGATTTTATTCACTCCAACCATTCCAGGAGAGACCAAGCTGGACTTCTACATCAGATTCTCTGACACAAACACAAAACCAGTATGTAATTGATGGTTTTCATGCCACAAATATCTAAAATAGCTGGAATTAATCATGATTAAATAGACTGATGATTGATTCAAACAGATACCCATCCAGGTCAGAGGCTTAGCTGTCAGCATCCCTGTATGGGTGGTTCAGCCCAACATTGACCTGAAGATCTGCATGTTTGATCGCCTCTATCAAAGCACTGTCACCATTCAAAGCAGGTGAGTCTTAAAGCCTGAGAAGACTGGGAACTTATGCACTTTGTGGTTGTATTTATATGCAATGACATCAGTACAGTCTATACAATTCCTTCCAAATGTATTCATACCCTTTGAAAATAAACCCTTTGGTTGTATTCTACTGGGTTTTTCTGTGATTAACAAACATTTATCCATCATTGTCAATAAGAAAGAACAGAATAAATGTACTTAAAAGGTTTTTACAGATGGAAATCGAAAAAAGGTGTTCTGTATAGTTTTAATCAGCCACCTTTCCCCTAACAAAATGCTACGTAATTATGTTGCTTAAGAGTGTAGTTAATCAGTAACTGAATTTAACTGTGCATTGATAAAATGCCAGTTCAAATACAGCAATGAAGGCATAATAGCTTTGATAGAAATCATTTGAGAACAGAGTTAAATAGAGTTATTGAAAGCTGATAGTGTGGTTAAGGTGTTAAAACACTTACACATCTCACACAGCATCTTCATTCTATCTTTGATAAGGTATGACAACAAAAAACAAGATCAGATATTAATCATAAAGTAGGGTTAGCAGATATGGGTGACAGTGCCGTCGGATGAAGGAGTTTCACCTGCAACCAGAGGGTTGTCAGTTCTAGCTCCGGCTTTCGGTGTTGTTGTGTCCTTGGGCAAGAGACTTCACCCGCATTGACTATTGATGGTGGTCGGAGGGATGGCTCCGGCCAGGATACTGCAGCTTCGCTGTGAATGTGAGTGATTGACTGAATGTAGCGCATAGTGCTTTGGTCAAGTCTACATAAAGGCCATTTACTATGCCATTTACAAGTCATTTACAGACGTCACATAAAGACGTGTGGCAGAAGGAAAGAGAGTCGATTGTAGAAAACCAGTTTTCATCTCCTTTCATTGTAGCCTATCATGTAGGTTGATGCTACAGTCGCAATCGCAGACCCAGGCATGCCGTAACAAAGCGCCACCTTCTCAAACGACAACACAGAGCATCACAAGATATGAAACTTGTCAAAAGGAGAGGAAGAGGAAATTGTCCCAAAGAAGGGTTTTAGTAACTCACCAGTTTGGTAATATTTCGGTTATAGCAAGTTAGACAAAAAAAAAAAAACACTATGATTTGTAAAAGTTACAAGGAACCGGTAAAAACAAAGTCTAGTAACACTATCAACTTGTTTTATCATCTAAGCTGCTCACACCCGCCAGAGCACAAGCTGTTTCCAAATCGTCGGAGGAATCTTCGAGAACTTCTGCCAAAACAAAGCAAGCTAAACTGGGCTTTCTTTTTAGTGATAAATATGACAAAGTGTCCAAAGGGCAATTAGGAAATCACTCTTGCAGTAACATGTTCATAGCGATGGATATGCTGGGGTTGTCTGCAGTTGAAAAACCTGGCTTCAAACAGCTGTTCGCTACTCTCAGCGCTCCATAATTTATAAAATGAGTGCAGGGGATCGGTACAAAATGAACTACAATCTGTGTCTTACTACGCCATAACATTGGATCTCTGGTTAAGTCGCACATCCGAGCCCTACCTCAGCCTCTCATTTTACTATATAAACAGAGAATGGAGATAATTTAGATAATTTTAACTTTTAGATAATTATTGATATCGATCAATAGGCCTTTTTTTTATCAATATACTTTTTTTCTACATTGTCCAGGCCTATCATAAAGACCACTTGTATAAAAGAGTGGCAAGAGCAAAGGTAACAGTTTAAATGGTGTGCAAGAGATTGGTATACCAGAGATGATGTAGATTCCAGTCTAAAAGAAAACTAGGACACATACAGGATTTAAACATTTTACATTTATTGAGCTGTGCTTGCCACACTGTATGAAGGGAGATGCCAGCCTGCATGACAGGAGGATTGCATCAGATTCGACAGAAATGTCAGACTAACAATAGGAAGACAGCAGGTTACAGGTGTTAAGCTTGATATAAGAGTCAGATCCTAAAAAGAGGAAGAGGATGATAATGAAAAGCAGACAGTTATGGAAGAGCTTCCCACTGGTCCATTGAGAAGATCCAATGATCTGGATTCACCTGCAGTCCCTGAGTTCGATCCATCCTAAACATTTCTTCTGGACAATAGGCTCTATGCACAGCTCCACTACTTCCTGAATTTAATGCAGCTTCTTTGTTTCCTGTCTTTCATGATTGGATGCACTGATTAATCCAGGTGTGTATGACCTAAGTAACTGGCCAGACACACCTGGATTAATCAGTTCGTCCAGTAATGAAAGACAGGAAACAAAGGAGCTGCCTTAAATTCAGGAAGTAGTGGAGCTGTGCATAGAGCCCATTTGTATAAGTCCTATTTACTTGTCAGCTAAAGTGGTGGTCAGTGAAGTGGACACTCTGAATGACCACAGATTTTCTTCCACAGAAAAAGATTTAGGCTAAGATGGACGACTGTTTAACAGTGTGATTTTGCCATAGAGTCTGTAGAGGACAGGGCTGGGTTGGACTTTTGCCTCTTAGTGGGACAGCTTTCCTAAACTTACAACCAAAGAAACTATTTAGTGGATTAGATCAAAGCACAAACCTAAACCTAAACTAAAAATACATTGCATTGCTTTGAAACTGATGCGCCCAAAAGATTTCCATCCAAAAGGAATGAGTAAAAGCTTCTCAGCCTACAATCATGCAAAGTTCAAGAGGAAAATAATACTTCCTAAAATGTATTGCACATTAGATTAGGAAAGCTTTTTTTAAACTAATTTGTTTTAAAAATGTACAACTTTTGAGTATAGTAAGTTGCTGAAATGTGTACTCCAGCATACCCACAAAATTGATAGATAACACTGTCTGTACCTCAGTCTATGAAAAGGTTTTGCTTTTTACCTCCAGTTCTATAAGCATTCGCTCTGAACAACCGTTTATCCATCAAATGCTTCACTCTTTCCGTTTAATTAATCAATATTATGCAATAAAACAGGCTCACTATTGTCTATTGCAGGCCTGTTGTGAGGACTGTCTAATTCACGGCTGTTGGACAAGCATGTAGGAGAAAGTTTAAGAGGCACTAAGCCATGAGAGACAATGTCAGCACTTTTCAGACATGTTCAACCAAATACACAAAGCTGCAGGCTTAACATGACAGCCTTGCATCCATCTAACAAATTTTCAATAGCAACTTAATCCCGTTCATGTTATCTGGGGGCTGGTGCCTATCGCCTGGAGTAAGTGAGAGACGAAGGCTACACCCCAGACAAACTGTCAGTCCATCACATGGTGTTTCATACAGTTATCAACTTTAAAAGCCTTCTGGTTCTTAATCTACAGGGTTTAATATGTTGGCCAATCTTCTGCTAACCTGACAACAGCCAGATGCATGTCTCACTCCGCCTAGCTCCGCTCACATACATCTGGGAACCCGCCATAGGAATTGCCTTTACTGAAGGCTGGGCCTTATCAAAACTCCTTGCATATGATTGGATAAGCCACTTGTCTGTCATCTTTATTGACGTGCTATTTCAACCACTCACACCGAAGCTAACCCGTGACGCTGTGAGAGGAGGAGCCATTTGGTAGATCAAGCTCTTGCCAAATCCGGTCGGGAGAAGGGCGAAAACATTGTTTCCACCAACAAAAGCCTTCAAAGCCGTTCTCTGATGTTCTTTTAATTAAACAATATCAGATAGATTGGACAACACAGAAGAAATAGCAGCATCGATGCTAACGCTTGCTTCCTCAATGCGAGCCGCCATTGTTGTTGGAATCTCACTGTCGCTTCTCCACTCCAGGACACACCCACCCTACGTCCTGATTGGACAGACCATAAATTCGGTTGGGGAAATCCCTTTCAATGAGCGGGTTCCCAGATGTATGTGAGTGGAGCTGGGCAGAGCGAGACATGCATCTGGCTGCTGTCAGGTTAATCTTCTGCAGCCATAACGGCTTTAGTCGCTCTGGAAGACTTTCCATAAGGTTAGCAGTGTGCCTTTCAGGGTTTTGAACATTTCTCTTGAAGATCACTCACTGAAATTGGATAAGTGAAACTTACCTGGCTCAACATCCACAAATCAGAGGATACCAGTCTGTTGCTCAGTTTTTCTGAAGAACTTTCAACTCCTCTCCATGAGTCTTTGTCAGTTATGTCATTTCACACTAGAACAATCTGTTGTTGAAGCGCTGGTGTTTTTAAGGACCTGGAGGCCCATCCTCCAAAGCATATTCCAAGTGTGATGCAAAATGATGACCCAACTGTTATTCTACCGGTTTGTAGATTCTGGCAAGTTGAAAACGCAATCTCCTTTTGTTCAGTTATGGCTTTTCTCTTTGCATAACGATGGCCTCCTTCACCCTTCTTTCAAACCATCTGTCCGCATTGTCCAAACGCTGAATATTTTGCCATTAAAGGTGTATCCTTTGTTCTTGATGTGCAGGTGTACAGCTGACTCATGCCCAGGCTCCCCGGTGTTGCACCATGTGTCTCTGTAGTTGTTGTTTGGTTTCTCTGATGTAGGAGTCTGAACAGTCCTCACTGCTCTGGACTGCATAACCAAAACCACTCAGCTGTTTTGTCTTTGGGATAAACCAGTTTTTGTGTTGTTGGTTATTTTAAATTCACTGCTAATTCACTGTTATGTAAAGAGAAAATCCTTCTTGAGTTTTCAGAAACTCTTGATGCATATGGAATCACTATGTTTTTTACATCCCTCTGTGTTCTGCTCTGTGTTTTACCTCCTGCTAGATTTTTTATTTTTTTTTTTTTTTGGCGGACTTCACAAATGGCTAATTTGGATAAAGACATACTTTGATTGATTTCCTGACCTGTTTGTGTTCTTTTTGGTTCTTCTCTGTAACTGAGGAAATATTGTCATCCCAGTAACTCAGAGGTCAGACAACAGAGTTGGTGTTCCAGTGGGTGATGTAAGTTGAAATGTAGATGTTGGTCATTGTTCTGTATGACTATGACAAGGCCATCTCCAAACCGATCTCTCAAAGTTAAGAATAAGGAACATACACTACAGTCAAACTGCCAACAAATACGATTCAAATG